TGACTGTCACCCTCTTAGTGATAGTTTACTGGGGAATGGTGGGTTTTTAGTTCATTCCTTTCCTATTTATTAGCTGAAATTTTCTAGTAAAAGTCAACTTTTCTTTATTAATGAGTACATATATATGATTCTGTGTTACTCTGAAATATAGTTCATCTAGGAGAGGTAGGACAAGTTAGTTTTTTTGTTTTTTTAACTTGCCAGTCTTCAGTGAGAGAAAGGCATTGATGGAGTTGATACCTGTGTCATAGTTACCTGCAGTGGTGATCGCTGGGTTTTGGAAACGCCTCTCTCTCTGTGTCTCTGTCTCTCTCTCCCTCCCTTCCTCTCCCCACTCCCCCTCTTTCCTTGTCCTCCTCTCTGTCTCTCTCTTTCCTTTATTGGTCTTTGTGTTCATATTGACCAGTGGGGATACTTCATGTCATGTGCTGGGCTGTCACAACCCACTTGTGTTTGATACGGCTTTCTTACTTTCTGGTATAAAACATTCCATCTTTATCCCGTATGTTTCCTGTATGTTCTTGCCTATTTTCACGGGCCTGGAATTAGCCACTCCTCTAGGGAATGGCTGGTGAGTGGTTCCTAGGATTCATAGTCTGGCACTAGAGTTGCTCATTGCTACAAGGATGTCATTATATCTAGGCCTTTACAAGGGACAGAACTTGGAAATAGGTTCAAAAAGAAAAGAAAAAAACTATGACCGTATACTGATACTTTCCAATCAGATTTAACATTACTATTACCTCATTAAATTTATCTCTGTATCTTTTGCATTACAAATCTTGAGTCTTAAGAGCATTGTGATAATTACTTGGTTACTCTACCAGCATCTGTGAAATGATGTGAAAGTACTAATAGCATTATTTCACTCCTACTGAGACTATTGAATGACATTAAAGATTTTTTTTCTGCATGGAGATATAATCAGTATAATATACGTTAAGGTTCATTCGTTTTCATTCATTTTTGATTCATAGGTAATGTTTCTAAAATTTAATTTTCGGAAGATATAGACTATTTGCCCCTTCCAAAGTTGACACTATGTAACAAAATGTTCACAGAAATCTGGCCTTCATCACTTCTTTCTGTTACACTTCTTACCCCATTGGTTACCATTTGTGGTTTCTTCTTCATTGTTATTATCCTTCTGCTGTATGTTTTTGCAAGTGTGAGGACGTGTATGTTATTTATTGCTTATCTGAGCATGAATGCCCTTTTAGAATGTTTTACAGATTTCGAACATTTGACCATAGAAATATTTCATAATCATTTGAGCATCTCCCTTGGAAATAAAGATTCTGTAATGGCTGTACTTGCCTCTAATTACTTCATACAGCTTGTTTCCCTTTGCAGATAGGTCAGGCCTGCATTAAAAGATAACATGTTTGCTACTTGATACGTACTTGGGCTATGAAAAAATAAAATAACCATTCTCTGAGATGGTGTAAATATTCCAGAGGCACACCACGAGCTGAGGAATTAAAGCCGTTTATACTTGTGTTATAATTATGTGAATGCTATAACTTGAGCTGTGAGGATCAAGAAGAATAAAGAATAATGATTAATTTAAAGAATTAATTTAAAGATTTTCATAATTATCTTTGGGTATTTGTTCCTTTTGATCAAATCTGAAATATGGAAAGCGACTGTTACAATTTGGCACCTTAAGTACTGGTACTCTAAAATAGAATTCCTCTCGAATTCTGAATATTTATCTATGTATCTAAGTTAGGTATATTGAATACCCAGTGTGTTTTCTATTTCTGCATAACACGTGATCCTAAAACTTTGCGACTTACAGCAAGAAACATCCATTACTCACCAGTTTCTTGTAGACCAGAGTTTTGGATGGTTCTGGCTCCAGTCAAGTCTCACTGTTCTGCAGCACCCCGAGGCCTCACCAGGACGAGGGCTGCACTCGGGGCGCACACAGGTGACTGTGAGCAGAAGGCTCCTGGGGCCTCTTCCTAAGGCAGCTCCAGCCCCCTCACGCCAGAGTACATGATCCAAGAGGGAGCAAGTAGAAGCACAGTATCTTTTCTGACCTGACCTTGGAGACCACATGCCGTTATTTTCACTGGGTCCTGTCAGCCATTCAGCTCCACACAAGTGTGTGAACACCAGGCAGCCAACTACCACATTGGGGCTTAGCATTTCTGTGTCTTTTAACATAAGTAAAAAAGAAGAGTATATAGATAGCTTGTGTGCGTGTGCATGACTGACCTGAGTACAAGGTTTTATGGTAACATCATTGTGAAATCTCAGTGATCATTTTTTATTTGTTGTGAGGAAGGGTTAGTTGAAAATGTAACATGAGAATTTGGTTCTAAAAATGGATTGTATTTCTGAGATTGACAAAAAATTGAAATCTGAAGAAGAAAAGTGAATCATTTTATAACGAACATCTTTTTTAGGCTGAGTATAGTGGCTCATGCCTGTAATCCTAGCATTCTGGGAGGCCAAAGCAGATGGATTGGCCTGAGCTCACAGGTTCAAGACCAGCATGAGCCAGAGCGTGACCCTGTCTCTAAAAACAGCTGGGTGTTGTGGTGGGCGCCTGTAGTGCCAGCTACTTGGGAGGCTGAGGCATGAGAATCACTTGAGCCCAAGAGTTGAGAGGTTGCTGTGAGCTATGATGCTACAGCACTCTACTGAGGGTCAGATGCTGTCTTTAAAAAAAAAAAAAAAGACATATTTTTTGATCAAAGTGATTTTTCTCCCAAACACTGAATAACTTCCTTGTTCAGAAGTTGCTGTAAAATTCACAGGCATGATTACAATAGTTTTTACCTGCGATGCCGTTTGTTACCATTTAGAAATGGCTGTTCACTGTTAGGAGTAAATAAGTAAGCCATTGTGAGGGGACTTTTGAACTTTGTGTGCAGTCCGGTAGCCAGTTGATAATTTGGATTACTGGTTTCATAGTGTTCGCACACAGTAGCTGAATAATGGGGCTCATTAAACTCCCTGGGCAGACACATCCAAATTGCATTCGCCTCTAACCTTGGAGGCTCCGTGTGGCTGGATGGTGAGGATTGCCTCTTTATTCCCTTGTCAAGCTGTGCATTAGCATTACAGGCCAAGCAGCTCGTGACCATTCTATTTATGCCCCTGTTTGGTAGTGAGGAAAACAGGTAAAGAAATTCTGTGTTTTTATGAATAACGCCAGTGTTGATAGCAGTTTGGACTGTGATCAAATCCTCCAAGAGGTAATGTTAGCAGCCAGGAAGCTCTGTGGGGCACAGCGGTGGGCAGTAATGGTTTCTCAGTTAGACATGCTCCTTCAGCAGGGAGCTCTGGAGGAGAACGTTCTGTGCAGTTAAACAGGAGGGGAAAGTAAAGCTCAGGGAGAGAAATGCAGAGAAACACGGCATTGTCGAGAAGCATCGAGAAGCTGGGACAGTGAAGACTGGCAGTGGAGAGGGCCAGTAGGAGTCATTTTCATAACCAAATGAGATTAAGTGATGATAGCTTATCTTGCCAGGAAGAAGAAATGGGATCATGTTATTCTGTTTCATATTTTTCTATAATACTCAAAATTGAAGAAATAATAAAAAGATTGTTTTTATTACCAGAAAAGTAACGTTAGAAGCTAAAGTCAAAATAATTTTCAAATTCCAGTGAATTTTCTCTTGAATTTCAAGAGTTGGGAAAAACAGGTGACGTTAGTGCCTATATAATGCTAGTCTAGTCTATTGAACACAGAAGGAAGGATAAAAGTTTGTCTCATCCGTAGTATACCCACATTGATGTTTTTGCTTTTACTACTCAAGAAATGTGAATGAGAACTATATATGTATATTAATTTAAAAGGAAACATTTCATTGAACTGGAAGGGAATATTAGGCTTGACCTTCAAGTGCTCAGAGTGGCTGGGCACAAAGTAAGTGCTCACTAAATGCTTGCTGTTAATTAGAGGCCTCGTGCACAAACAGGCCGTGGCAGGTCATCTTGGCCTTTGGCTCTGAAAGTTAATCATACTTGTAGGAAACAAGTCAAGAACAGTTAGATAGTAGTAATTAAGTTACTTACTCCAGTAGTGGCACCCTGCTTGAAATAGTTTAATGTTTTATAAACTTGATCAGACCAGCAAAGAGTCAATGCTTTTTAGGGCAAGTGGTTTCTAAACTAGGACTCCAAGGAAGAGGAGCCGTGCGGGCTGCAGAGAGGACGCGCGGGTCGTCAGGAGCAGCCCTGGCAGAGACAGTGCCTGTGCTGACGCTTCACATCTGGGTGCTCCTGGAGTGTTTCCCTTTATTGAGTCTCTCAGGACATCCCTCTGTGAGGCAGCTGTGTTAATTATTACTTTGCTGATCAGAAAAACAAGGCATAGAACCTTATGTAGAGTAGGAGAAAGAGATCGGCTGGTATGGTCGGCAGCCGGGTGATCCCTGGTGAAGGTGCTGATGGGAATATTCCACAGAAACACTGGAATTGAGAAAAAAGATAAATATTAAGTGTTTTAAAGGCTGCTGTATCCAGCAACTTAGGCTAGGTTAAGCTGTAGTAATTACGATAACCCCAGAACCTCAGTGGCCTCAGAGGACAAATGGTTATTCCTTATTCCTCTGTGTCCCCATGGCCCTGCTGCATGCTGCCTCCACCTGGGGTGGCAGAGGAAGGAGCAGCCCTTCTGTCTGGGCTCTGGTGTCCCCCAGGCTGCCACATACTTCATCCCAGCAGAAGTCACCGCAACAATCTAAGCGGAGGGAGGGGTACGAACTGCCACAGGAAGGGACAGTTGGGGACATACATTTCTGTGAACAGTGCATGTGTGTGGGTCCTAAAAATTTCTAAATACTTGATCATTGAGGATTAATCTGGGAAAATTTTTAAAATTTGTAAATTGAGAGGGTAACTAATGAAGGGCCTTGAACTTTTGTGTTCCTTAGTTATCCAAGAAGTATCCTGCTACTCAAAGAACATTATTCTGGGATGTTTTAAAGACAGGATTTGGGTTGTTTGTCCTGTTCTAACTACTTTCTCCCTTCTGTCCGCAGTGTCATCAGCAAAGTAGTTCCCGCTCCCGAGGCTAAGCCGGTCCCCTCTTTGAACCGGCCCAAGACGCCGCCCCCAGTTGCCGCGGCCCCAGCCCCTGGCCCCACGCATGTGGGCCCCGCACCCCCACCGCCACCCCTCGCACCCACCGCCTGCCCTGCACTGCTGCCCTCTCCGGGTCCCACAGTCGCCGGTAGCACCAAGGCCCCTGTGCGCAGTGTGGTGACAGAGACAGTCAGCACTTACGTGGTAGGTCAGCCCTGCCCAGCTACCTCCTGTCCTGGTGTCATTACCGAGTTTCAAAGAAGTTCTTTACACCAGCAAGCATTTCACTGCATTGCAGGGTTTTGGCTGAATGCCATTATACTGCTGTGTTCACGTATTTGCCATTATACTGCTGTGTTCACGTATTAAGTAATGACAGAAACTGCTTTTCGCAGTTTTTGGCCAGGGCCAGGTCTGAACCCGCCACCTCTGGTATATGGTGCTGGCGCTCTACTCCTTGAGCCACAGGCACCGCCCCAGCACTGCTTTTCTTTGCATTGTTTTGGAATAGAACTATATGCATATGTACAACAATATCAGTGTATAAATATAAAGATGAGTAGTGATTATGCCAGGCCAGGTGGCTGACACCTGTAGTCTCAGCACTGTGGGGGGCCCAGGAGGGTAGATTGTCTGAATTTACCAGTTCGAGACCAGCCTGAGCATGAAGGAGACCTCGTCTCTAAAAAATAGCTGGGAATTGTGGTGGGAGCCTGTAGTTCCAGCTACTCAGGAGGCTGAGGCAAGAGGAGCGCTTGAGCACAGGAGTTTGAGGCTGCAGTGATCTGAGATCATGTCTCAGCATGACTAGGAAAAAGAAAAAGAAGAAAAAAGAAATTTTTAAAAGGAGTATAATTTATGTAGCATACACAGATCCTATGAGGCAGTTGATGTTTCTAAGTAACAGTACTAATTATAATATTTCAATGGCTAAGATCCAAAATATGCCAAGTCTTACAGACTAAATGGGAATGAACTTTTCAGCCCCAGAGCTTCCTGAGTATCCAAGCATGACTTCAGATTGTCAGACCACTGTGCTGGATGAGTCCGCCTTGTCCCGGGGCTGTTTCTAGGTGTTTTCCTCGTACTTAATAGTATCAGGTCTTATTCAAACTCTGAATTCAACCTAGTAAGGAAGTGTTTGTGCAGATATGTTGTTGCAGCATTTATGTACAAAGAAGTTTAAAAAGAATTCAGAGAGAATATGAAGATATAAAAAATTAACCATAAAATATTAAATTGGCAATTTAAGACAAAAATAGAAGATGTGATGTAAAAGCTGGGATCATCAAATTTGTCCAGTCAAGGACCAAGAAAGAAATTTACTTTCTTCATCCCAGTAAATTTTATCCTCACTTCCAAGTTTCACAACTACTTCCTTCTTGACACCATTAGCTTAGGATCTAATCACAAATCAGGGCAATGGACATGTTCTTGATTCTTTCTTGAAGCCTGAAACGGCTTGATTACTGACACATCAAGAGGCCAAAGTTGGCTGGTTAACCCACCAGGTATCACAGCAAGTTATGTTTTAAAGTCCACTGTGAATACTGTATTCCAGGATTTTTTTTTTAATTGTTGGGGATTCATTGAGGGTACAAGACAGCAGGTCAGGGTATTATTTTTTATATTTCTAGAGCTAATACTTTTAATGCATAACCATAAATAAAAAAATTAAAAACAATTATATAGACATAGAATTAGTACCACGTATGTGTAATGCACATCCTTACTTTTCTCTCAGAAATTCTGGGCAAAAAATGTTGCACATTGTACGTGGCAAAGTACGGCAACACCCTAGAGATAAGTCCAATTGGAATAGACAATGTGGATGAAAAACTTCTGACTCCAGAAGGGACACTTTGTGGACAGGGAACAAAACGTATACTTAGGTAAAATACAATCCATTGTCTATAGAGCAAACAAGTGGATTTTGTCACTGCCTAACAATGTGATACTGGAAATGTTACTTAAATTCCTTTAGCTCCACTTTCCCTTTTTTTTTTTTTTTGAGACAGAATCTCACTTTGTCGCCCTTGGTAGAGTGCCATGGCATCATAGCTCACAGCAACCTCACAGTCCTGGGCTCAAGTGATTGTCTTGCCTCAGCCTCCCAAGGAGCTGGGACTACAGGTGCCCACCACAATGCCCGGCTATTTTTAGAGATGGGAGTCTCATGCTTCTTTAGGCTGGTCTCGAACCCATGAGCTCAGGTGATCCACCCACCTTAGCCTCCCAGAGTGCTGGGATTACAGGCATGAGCCACTGCGCCCAGCCACTTTTCCCAGTCTTAACCTACCTGTAGGTTGTTTTACAATGGTTGAACAAAGTAGTGTTTGAAAGAACTTAGGGAACTTTGCAGAGTGTTAGTGATTGAGGATGCTGTGACAGATTTCTTAGGGGGACATGTAGTCATGACATTCTCATTTGGGTCAACCAGCAGCAGCCTGGCTTGGCGACTGATGGTTCTCTCCCTTTGTTACATTTTCTTCTGGAATTAGAGCAGGCCAAAGATGTAGATTGCTTTAGGGGATTTTCATAATGCAGTTTTGTTTTGTAGAGATTTTAAAAAAAAAAAAGGTAGGCCTTAAAGCCCATCAATAGAATGTGTATTTAACTCACTCCCTAGAGATGAGTCCAGTTGGCATGGACAGTTGAGACATGCATATACACGTGTACATATACACCTCCCACATGCCCAGCACTCACAGAGAAAGCCTTTTTTTTGCACATCTAGTCAGTGTTGTATTTAAAAGTATAGAAATAGAGTGTGTATCTTGCAAAATAAACCTAACAAAAAACATGTGCCATCTTATATGCCATCTTATTGCAGAAACTTTTTTGAAAGTTACCTTTTACTTACTGCTGATGTTGAATGCCCATCAGAAAATATTTCTTCCAGATTGGTTTTGTTAATGGGCAGATTGAGGACGCGGTACAATGCTCCCTGTTGAGAATTACTCAGTTAAAGAGACTCTAGAGCAGCGGTTCTCAACATTCCTAATGCTGCAAGCCTTTACTAAAGTTCCTATGGGTCTCAGCCCACAGGTTGAGAACCGCTGCTCTAGAGTGTACAGTACTTATGGCAAAACAATGTTTAACATATAGCTCTTTGGCCTCCTGAGTCCCTTACTTCATTTGCCCTTTAGTTGACTGTACTTTACTTAAAGTGTCATAAAGGGAATGGAGAGTTACTTAGTAACGACTCTTTTATGTACTTGATCTTATCAGCTAGTTCAGGGGAAGGTTGGCTAATCAGTAATGAGGCGATGCACGCACACTGGGCTACATATATTAATTCCAGGTCTATGAATGTGATTGAGAAAAGGACATATAGTTGAGCTCTGTAGCTTTCAAGAGTATTTGTTACTGCAGCAAAAGACCCTAATCATTAAGAATTTATTTGGTTGTATGATTTTTTTAGATAAAAGAAATTATAGTTCATGTTCTTCACAGAGATGATTATAAAATAGTTTTTTATAACTTACAAAAGGAAGTTTAGAATATTCATTAGAAGTGTCTTTTCATTGAGTACTTAGTAGCAATTTTCTTTTTTTTTTTTTTTTTTTTTTTTTTTGAGACAGAGCCTCAAGCTGTCCCCCTGGGCAGAGTGCCGTGGCATTACAGCTCACAGCAACCTCCAGCTCCTGGGCTCAAGCGAGTCTCCTGCCTCCGCCTCCCAAGTAGCTGGGACCACAGGCGCCCGCCACAACGCCCGGCTATTTTTTGGTTGCAGCCGTCATTGTTGTTTGGCGTCCGGGCTGGGGATTCGAACCCGCCACCTTAGGTGTACGTGGCTGGCGCCTTAGCCGGTTGAGCTATAGGCGCCGAGCCGCAATTTTCTTTTTCACATGATTCCCAGAGCAGTGGTGATCCTGACACAGCTTTAATAAAGTGCTAATCCACTGTGTTTTCATAGTTACACTTTTCTGTTGAGTAGATTTACAGTGTAAAGTAATAATCCATATCTGGTCTCTCTCTTTCTCTCTGCCCATTCCATCTCTGGTTGTGCCCCTCCCCCATGGAAACACCAGATTCGAGATGAATGGGGCAATCAGATCTGGATCTGTCCTGGGTGTAACAAGCCTGACGATGGCAGTCCAATGATCGGCTGTGATGACTGCGATGACTGGTACCACTGGTGAGTGCCCAGACTGCCCGGCCAGCCACAGGTGCCTGCCCCTTCATCACGGCAGCACCGGTCCCCCCAAGAAGGGGTATCCCACAAAACAGAACAGTGCCCTTGGTCCATTCAATAGGTCAGTTCAACTGCTGTCTTAAGGATAGTGTATAGTATGAGATCACAGATGTAACTACTAATTGCAGAAGAGTCTTTGGAATTTCTGAATATGTTGTTTAGCTTTGTACGAAAGAAATAGGCAACTGAGAGCTTTCCCTCTCCTTCCTTTCCAGCAAGGTTCTGTAAGTACTGGACAGAAACAGTAAGAGGTGGCCCTGGCTAGGCCATCACAGACCGCGGAGGAGAGGCAGCTTGTCTGCTGTTAAACCTCCTCGGCAGCTCCCCCAAACTGAAGAAGCTCAACCACAGTTTATGCAAATAATAGTCTCATTTTATCTTTAAAATGTCAGATACAGAAAGATAGCAATCTGTTCAATTATGATATACGATCTCTAGAAGGTAAAAGTATGCCGTCGCTCAGAAGAATTACACTACTCCAGGCTGAAAGGACCCGAGCTAATTAATCTCTGCAGGGGCCTGTGAGGGACGCGCCATGTAATAGTCATCCACACGCCCAACAGCGGGCCCCCAAATTAGAGCCGTTTGGGTTTGATTTCCGGTAAATCTTTCGTAGACTTTAAAAACTATTTAAAGACAAAAGCAGGAGAAGAACACACGTGTGCGTCTTGTTGGTCTGACTTGTGTTGTACCGTGCAGGCCCTGCGTCGGGATAATGGCTGCACCCCCGGAGGAGATGCAGTGGTTCTGCCCCAAGTGCGCCAACAAGAAGAAAGACAAGAAGCACAAGAAGCGGAAGCACCGGGCCCACTGACGGCGGCGCAGCCTCCTCCCCAGGGCTCCAGGGGACTGGGCTGACTCTGCCCTCGGCTGCCCGGGGCCCTGTGGATGCGGATCCCACGAGGCGCAGGCCGAACGCACCACACCTCTGCGTCCCCTTCTGAAGCCCCTCGGCCTGTGCCGGCTCGGGGCCCTGCGATTGAAGAAACACTCAAGCAGAGGTGTGGCCCACAGGCTGCCCCTCCCACACTTTTCTATTGCCAGTTACAACAAGTATTATTAATAAAAAGACCGCGCACCTTCCCTTTGATTTCTTTTATTCTCTCCAGGGCCTTTCCATGAAGGTATTAGATGAGAAGATAATGTGTGAACTGCTTTGACTGTGATTTCAGGATAAAACCCTTAGTCTGTATACAGTTTTCAGCCCCTTTTCCTCCATAGTAAGATAATCATAATAACAAAAAAGAAAACTCCAGTTGGAGTACTGGTAAATATTTTTGTGATAAGAGTATCTGAAGCTCCCCTCCCTCCCCACCCCTGTTTTTAGTACTAACATGTAAAATGTTCAGGCTTTTGTGAAATACCTTATATTTTTTAAGAAAAAGGTTTCTATCATGTCCTGTTTGCTTTGTGCAAATTATTTTTGTTTACTCTAACGTATTTTATATCTTTGTTGCATTTTAATTTTGCCCTTTAAACTGCTGGAGTCTCTTCTCACTGCTTGTACATTTCATCAACTTGTATAAAAAAACTCTTCATACTAAAAGATTTCCCATAATGTAAATAATAAATATTTATGAAGTAGTTATTTTTAAAACTTTTATTGTGTTTAATTCTGGCTTTCTCTGAAATCCACTGTGATTTCAGCCATGTCTGTAATTACACTGTACATAGGCAGAGAAGGTGAGAGAGAAAGAGCCACAGTGCAAAGTAATTGACCTTGAGCTGAGCCTGTCCAGCTCCCCGAAAGGCTGTGGGGGAGACAGGCCCTAGCAGTTGGAAGGAAAACAAGGCAATTTAAATCTATAGCTTATGATTTGAAATTGTTTTGTTTGTTACCTATTTTGTTTTTGTAAATTTCTTTGACTTTTATTAAAAGGACATGTAGATTCCACGAAAGTAAAAAAAAAAAAAAAATACTGTAGCATTTGTGTTTATATTGCTTTATTTCTACAAATCTGTTCGTTGATATTGTGCTTTAAGGCTGAAATGAAGTATATAATGAATTTTTTAAGAAAAACTCATCCAATTTCAGGGTATCACAAAATTTTATTATATTACTATGCTCCCCACTATTTATTATATGTTATAGATGTCTGAGAGGTAAACCAAATATTTTATTTTTAATGTAAAAACATCAAATTTAACTTTATTAGCATATTTTAGCAACTTTGGAATAAATATGGACTTTTACTTGGTTTTGAAATAACCCCAATTTGGGCCCGTGTGATGGATCTCTTGAATGCTAAAATATGGGCTTTGAACCTAATACAAATATATTAATAGAAAATGTGATTCCTTTAATGCCAGCTAAATTGATACTAGCATATGAATTAGTTGTATTTTAAAATATATTATGTGGTTAGAGAAAAGCAGTTTTCTGCCATGACTGTTAAATCGCAAATCAGTGGAAACGGAGTTGCTGGAGTACAGGATATCATTGCCCTTCTGTTCCAGAGATGGCAGTTTTCCTGTCCCTGCAGACAGACAAAGCATCTATGTTGAGATGTGTGCTTTCTGTTTTATTGACTTCAGATCATTCTGAATCCTTTATATGATATTTTCACATGCACAGATATCCCCGTTAGTGCTTTTTGGAGAGGGATGAGGGGTGGGGGAAGTGCAAAATAAAGATGATTGGCTATTTCATAGTTTGCTTTTCCATTTTCTTTACTTAGGATTTAGTCCCTTGAGGCATGGCCAGTGGATCTGAAGTTGCCACGTTTAAGTGAGCAGGTCGCGCTGCTGAAATAAGAATGGAGGTGCCTGTATAAAACTTCTCCCCCAGTCCCACCGTCTGGGAGACTTCAGGCCATGCTACATTTAAGGAATTTCAATCAGTGTGTTGTCCTTTGCCATTTCATGGTTGCTTTCCTAAATCCAGTTCATGATTTTATAAATGGTCTTTGCAATAATAAAACCAAAGGATCATTTTCAGGGGGCTGGATAGCTGGAGGGATTAGTAATGGAATACAGAGCCTTTCACCTCTGGGCCAGTGAGTTGGATCCAGTCCAGGTCACTGGAGACCAAAAGTCGTCACCATCCTGCGACTGTTCAGTGGCCTGTGTGAAATGAACTGGTGGTCTCCGTCTCCTCTGGGTGGCTGTCTGTGACACCAACTGAAGGAAGATCCAGAAACTGCAGAAAGAAATGTGGATTAGAAAATAAAGCATCTATGTTACAAAGTTAGAAAGTTGGACAGCCATTCTCCATAAAGTAACACTGAAGGAAAAAAACAAACCAAAAAAAAAAAAAAAACCAACTCAGAAATACAACAGACGTTCCCAAGACACGAGAGATTAATTTACTTAAGTCAAAATAGGAAAAGAAAAGGCCTAGATCAGGCAAAGGGGGAGAAGAATAAATTGGAGAAGATTTAATCTGGAAAAAACCTTTAGGAGGCCTAAACAATAAGAAAATATGGGTGTCAACTTTTGAGAGAAGGAAATCAGGAAAGGCAGCAGGAATTTGAGGAACTACGGAGAATTAGGTGCAAAGAAATGAAAAGTATTTCCCTTTAGAGGGTGAGAAGCCTTCTAGTTGGAAGTAAAATCGAGACCTCTTTTATTTCAGCACGATCATTTCAGTAGCATCAATACTTCCTAAGAGTTGTCATCATCAGGGGAAAACATTTTGTCCTGGCTACTGATTGTACTGGAAGAAACGGAGAGACCCTCACTCGAGAAAACTGAGAAGCCCTCCTGGTGCGATAGTCCTCCTCCAGAGCCAGGTGTGGCTGGCAAGGCGTCATTTCTATGGCTGACAAGGTGTTTCTTTTCCAAAGGTGTCTGCAGCTGAGTACAGTGAGGATCTTTATCCTCCAACTGATTTGTGGTTCCAAACGTCCTGAGGAGAATGAGAGAGTATCAGAGTATTCCGACTGTCGGCCCTTTTTTCCGAGATAAAATATAGTGCATTACTCCTCTGTATCACCTGCACCGCCTTTGTTCTCTTTTCAATAGGATGATTAAACAAAGCCCTTCCAACCAAATTAAAGTATAAAATGAACACTGAGATACGGAAACCTTGCCACTGAGAAGGCCAGTGAAGAATGAACTTCACTGAAGACACCCTGGCTGAGTTTTCAATACAAATAGTTTGATGGCCAATCTCTTTAGATCATAGCAACTTTCTTTAGAGGTCTCAGTCTCAAAGTAGATGAGTTACCTTGACTGAAGAATGAAATAGATAACGCCCCGAATAATGTCTCTTTCCACAATGGCATCAGTCATTCTGTTAGGAAACTATTTCTTTGAGAATCTTGCATGAGTTGTAGCCTAAAAAGTATAAAGTAACTATTAATCCATGTGGGCAGGCCAGGAGAGATGACATTGAAATTAGATATGTAGACGGACAGCCCACAGTTTAGTCTTCATTTCTCTTAAATAGAGCATTTAGTCTACAAGAGTTACTAAAACAACTACGAGTTTCCTGGTTTCTTCTTGGATGGCTTCAGGTTTGTGTTTTTGTTTTTGAGAGACATAGTCTCATTCAGTTAGTTGCCCTCAAACTCTTGGGCCCAAGTGATTCTCTTGCCTACCACAGGTGCCTAGCACAACGCCGGCTATTTTTAGAGACGGGTTTCCCTGTTTCTCAGGCTCCACTCCGACTCCTGAACTCAAGCAGTCCGCCCATCTAGGCCTCCCAGAGTGCTGGGATTAATTACAGAGGTGAGCCGCCACACCCGGCCTGATAGCTCTGTTTTTAATTGAATTTGTAGAACAGTGTTAAACATGTTCCTTTATTTCAAATTCGCCAGGCGCATTTCCTGGAAATGGCAACAATGTATCAGAAGTTCATTTCCAGTAGTCTAGTTTCTAAGGTGCTCCAGCCCTTGGTCTCTCCTATGTTTTTGCAATTGTTCCAGCAATGCACTATGTATTAAAATGTATTTCATCAAGTTCTAAGCATATTACATACTTTTTCTCCATGTTTCTATTTGTATCCACCTAAGACCACAGCTAGGTTTTTTTGTTTATTAAGACAAAATCACCCTGGGTAGAGTGCCATGGTATCATCATAGCTCACAGCAACCTCAAACTCTTGAACTCAAGCAAACCTCTTGCCTCAGCCTCCCGAGTAGCTCGGACTACAGGTGCCCACCACAATGCCCAGCTAATTTTTAATTTTTCTTTCTTTCTTTTTATTTATTTATTTATTTTTTTGGCCGGGCCTGGGTTTGAACTCACCACCTCCGGCATATGGGGCTGTGCTCTACTCATTCGAGTCACAGGCGCCGCCCTGATTTTTCTATTTTTTAGTAGATACAGAGTCTCACTCTTGCACAAGTCTGGTCTCAGACTCCTGAGCTCAGGTGATCCACACACCTTGGCCTCCCAGAGTGTTGAGATTACAGGCATGACACAGCATGCCCAGCCTCACAACTGGTTTTTGTTAATAGAGTTTGATGCTTTTAAATGTTTACAACAAAATAATTAAAAGCCTAGCAAATACTTGCATTAACTTTCTTAGGAATTAACAGAGTAGACATAGGAAAAAAGATAAAGACATCCTGCACAAGATTTAAATATGTTGAGCTCTCAGAAGTGTATTTTAGGTACTTAGCCCTAAGCAATAATTCCCTCTATCCTTAAAACCTAGTCCATATTTTGTTAACCTTTTGAAGTTTCATGGGTTTTTTTGTTTGGTCTTGCTTTTGATTAATGAAACGTTCATAATGGGACTATCTTAAACAAAAACCCTGAGCCCACAAACCTGAAGAATGCCATTGTTGTCATCCTTAATGAGTTAACTATTGCTAGGTGAAGTGGTTTGAAGAAAAGCTTTTGCTGGTGGTAGTTCATTCATTCAGAGTATCAGAGGAAATCTAAATCATCCAAAAATATTGTCAGGTTATATTTTTATTATTTATTTTCCTTTTCTTTTTTTTTTTTTAAGAAATGGGGTCTCATTCTGTTGCCTAGTCTGGAGTGCAGTGGTGTCATCATAACTCATTGCAGCATCAAGCTCCTGGGAGCCATCCTCCTGCCCCAGTCTACCAAGCGGCTGGCCACTCTACTCCAGCCTGAGTGACAGCAAGACCCTGTCTTAAAAAGAACGAACCCCCCAAAAAAACTTAGGCCTGGCACTTCTGCAGGCCAAGCTGGGAGGATCGCTTGAGCCAGGAGTTCAAGGCTGTGGTGAGCTGTGATTGCACCACTGCACTCCAGCCTGGGTGACAGAATGAGGCCCCATCACTATATATATATATATATATATATATTTTTTTTTTTAATTGCAAAAGTGAAGTTTACAAAATTACATTCTTCCCAGGAGGAATTATTGGATCTGAAACTATATAAAAAT